ACGCTGGATTCATACTGATGAAGAAATATCTGGCGGCCTTTAATGGATGCAGACTGTTCCAGCTTTCCTATCAAGGGATTTGGATGGAGACTGGAGCCTAACATAACAAGAATAATCTCCCAATTCATCCTGACATTTTGACATGCTGTCCATTTCATTATCTACCAGATGTGCCTGTCTGCCAGTAGAAAACAATTAATATTTTCTTTGATTTACCACGGATGTTCTGCAGTCACCAATTCAGGGTCTCACTGAACTCTTGATTGGAAACAGGAAGAAAAGCGATGCTTTCTACAGAGATGGGAAACTTTGTTCTTTAAAAAAAAAAACGGTTTCCTATTGTGCATGTTGCCAACTAAATGTTTCTTTCAACAAAAGAAGCACAAGTGAACCCCTGCTAGAGAATTCAGCACAAAGCATTATTTAACCCAACCATTAATATCTTAGCATTAGGAACATTCCACAGTGTTTGCTAATGAACTGTGGAGGTTCTACAAAATATAATCACCAGCTCGAACATGATAAAAGGGAATGATTGCATGGCAGAATTTGGGCAATGATGGAAATTTAAAGCCTTGTACTAACCCTTTACTAACCCTTTAGTAACTAGAGTTATAGGACCACTATCTGTTACAATATTAACAATTTGTTTAGCTCAGTCTATGAAAAATTCCTCTACATCACTAAACCCTTGTCTAATAGAATCAGTTATTTTTATATTATTTGACATTTTCCAGTATTTCTTTACCATTATAAGCAGTGACTGTTCAAAGTTACAACGGCACTGAAAAAAGAGACTTATGACAATTTTTCACACTTATGACCATTGCAGCATCCACATGGTCACACGATCAAAACTCAGATCCTTGACAACTGACTCATACTTATGACAGCTGCAGTATCCTAGAGTCATGTGAACAACTTTTCCTATCTTTTGATAAGCAAAATCAATGGGAAAAGCCAGATTTACTTAACAGCTGGGTTACTAACTTAACTGCAGTGAATCGCTTAACAACTGTGGCAAGAAAGGTCGTAAAATAGGGCAAAGCTCCCTTAACAAATGTCTCACTTAGCAAAAGAAATTTTGGGCTCCGTTGTGGTCATAAGTCTACCTGTATTGTAAAATGCTTTGATCTTTTAAAAAAATTTGCAATGGTATAAAATGCTTAAATATAGATCATAACAGCATCTTCAGGATAGCAAGGTTCCAAACCACCACCACCCCTGAAAAATCTAGATGAGTTCAGTGGTGGATTGCTTCTGGTTCAGCCCGGTTCTTGCGAACCGGTAGTAAAAGCGGTGGGAGGCTTCGCCCACCCGCCCGGACGTCATCATGGATGATTTGCGCAGAAGCGTGCACACACGAGCAAAGCGAGCGCGTATGTGTGCTCCCGTTGCGAACCTGTAGTAAAGGTAAGTAGAACCCACCCCTGGATAAGTTCTTTGGATTCCAGCATCCTATGAGCCATTTGTAGCAGCAATGTTGTTGATCATTAATGAGGAAATTGTTCTGCAGTGCATTTTGAGAGTAATGGTTTGGAAACAGCAGCATTAGAATATTCATATTGAGTACCCAGAAGCCTGCAGGGAGAAGGTGTGTGTGTGTTAATTGTTGATGGTACAATTAAAGTTCCACCTCTTTCTATGTAAGTTCCATATGCAAACATCTTGACTAAGTTTACGTCCTGCAATTTAAATTTGAAATTAAGCCAACAAAAGATTATTTTTCAGATACCATCCAGAATTTTTTTTTTTGTAAGGAATAAACTAGTCATTATTTTTGTTGGTGTTACAAAAAAATCGAGGGCACTTTAAATCATATATTATGGCCATGGTCTTTTTGCAATTAGCGTTACACAATATGTTGACAAAATTATCAAGAATGCTTTGGTTTTTAAAGACATGCATCTTGCATTAAATTATATAGCTATTACTTGGAACGGAACATGTTCTGAACATAGTCAGGTTTTTCATATTCTAGGAATAGCAAAAGGAATAATTCATAGGAGATGAAAAAATGCTATAATTCCAGATATCAAGAATTTTATAGATGTAAATTTTAGAGAAGTGTGATCCAGCAATTTCTGAGAAAATTATGTATTCTGTCAATCAGAAAATGTCACATTATCTCTCCCTGTGGGAAAAAGTTCTCAGATAGGCTTGGTGAATATTGAAAGCTTAATTTTCTCTTTTAAATGTTTATAAAATTGGAATTAGTTATAATTATAGGCCTTGTGTCTTTTTCTGTTTTCATGTGTTGTGTTGGATGTTTTTTTTCCTTTGAGTAGTGAGTTGTATAATTATTTAAATGAATTAAATAAATGCAATCAATTTTTTAAACCCCCATTCCCACCATGGATGGCCCAAGAGTATACCTGGATTGGCTTATAACTCATGGTTGAAAGAAATCCCTATGAATGGTTCAACTGCCATTCTAAATTTGGTGCTCCCAGAGCAGGGAAAGTTTCTGCTCAATTATGTCCTTTTAAATGTGAAAACCTTTTAATGCTGTTTTTATTTATTGAAAAATTCCCTCTATACACAGGTATAGAGATCTAAAATCGCAACATAAGCACTTCCAAGTAAACCCCAAAAGAGATCTCTTCAGGTCAATGGTGTTCATGAAAAATGTCAAAAGAGTTAAGATGGCGGACATGACCATGCAATCAAAACCACTCTCTTCACTTTTCTTAACCCAACCCCTCTCCATAGATGATCCTGTGTGGCAATCTACAATATTTTTAATTGCAAGTCTTTAAGCTGTGGAGACACTAAGAAAATTTGGTTGCCTACAGAGAAGGACATGTGAAAATTGCAGTAAGAAATTAGTACTTCTTTTCGGATGAAAATATTTATACATGTTTAGTATTTAGAGAGTTACAATTTTTCAGGCTTTTATCTCCAAAGAAGCTGCAAACGAATGCTGAATTCCCAGACAGAAATGACAGTGTCAAGCACCAAGAGTATAGTGTGCTAACGTAATTAAAGGCTCATCTGAAAATTGTCCAAATCACATCCTTCAGAAGACCTTAATTCAAGAACTTCCAGACAAGACTTCAGTTACTTGTTTTCTTTTGGTTGGTTAAAACCTCCAGTGGCAAATGTCCCCTTGTAAAAGGAGGTGGGTGATAATGGTATGTGGGAACGACTATGGGAGAGAGGGGGGGAGAGGCTGCTAAGGAATGGTGAGGTAAGAGAAGGCATAGCCCCCAGAAGGATATACTGTATGTACTTTCAGACTTGCAAGATTGGTGTCAGTTTTCCCAGGTAAACTAGGCAGAAAACAATGACCAAATGAGCTAAATCTACTTTATGGTAAGGTTACATTAACAGAATCTTGGATTTAGAAACTGGAGTGTTTCCATCTTTGGTTCTGGACAGGGTAGCACTGCCTCGTTCAGAGCAGATATACAATCTGGATTGGGGGTGGGGGTGGGGAAAGAGACTCAGATTCACAGCTCCTGTTGAAAGAACTGTAGCCAGGAGCCCATTTGTACAACAGTGCTTGTGGGACTTGTTGTATCTATTCCTTAGACCAGGTGGCCTTGCTCATGGTCACTCACACCTCAGTCTACACTACTGAAACACACTCCTTGAAGACCATCCAGAAGTTTTCCTTGATCCAGAATGCTCCCAATAGACTTTCACATGCAATTCTCTATATTCTCCTTGCTAATTTTACCTTATTGGTCTGAGTATTCCCAGATGATATCTCTTGATTAAGGTTCTTGCTTCTCCCAGGAATTTCACTTTAAGTGTGGTTTGTGGTTGACAGGAATCTTAGTCAGTAAAAGATTGCTGTTGCTATGTAATATTTATTGATTAGTTATCTGTAAATGGGGGAGGGCTTATACCTTGATTCCCTTATAGCAGCTGCCCAAACAGACTTTTTAAACCTTGTATTGATTGCATTTGAGAAAAATAAAGATAGGTGGTTTTAAGGGAAATATTGATTGTGTTCATGATATATGATTAAGTAAATGCATCATGGTTAATTCAATTCATTTTCTCGGTTCATGTGATTTCAGCGACCCATCAGCTCATCACAGACAGGAGATAGGCTAGAGATCTGAAACAAAATTTAACACAAGATATTAAGGAAATAATCCATATACAGCCAGAAGCGGGTTATATTCTTCCATTCTTCTGAGGTCAGTAAAATGAGGACCCAGATTGTTAGGGGCAATATGCTGAGTCTGCAAACCACTTAGAGGGGGCTGTAAAGTACTGTGATGTGGTACATAAATCTAAGTGCTATTGCTATTGCTATATTCACACATGGCTTTGGAGCTTGAACTAGGCCACCCCTTTTTGACCTTGCATCTTCTACAACTACAATTAATGGTTTAATTAATAGTTTATGATTAAGTAACTGGAACATAAACATTGTTCCAAAATTGATAATTAAAACTAAACCTCCAAAACTTTCTTCCTAGACTAGGTGATCATCATCAGACATTCTGAAGAAAATCTTCTCACAAGTAGATCCCAATTTCCAAGAAAGCCTTTATTCTTGAAGAGTTCTGTTTCTCATGTACAGTAAACCACTCAATAATAAGCTTGATCTTCATCCACTAGCAACCCTGAGTTTATTTAATGTCCCAGTCTCTTCTTCTGGTTCAATGCAAGGCAGATATTTACATCAATGATGGTTCTTTATCTGAACCAGAGGAATCATCACTACCATAAAGATCTGATTAGCATGGCTGAGAATCCCTGAGCCTTTAAAATCACAACTGAGATTTCACCCATTTCCCAGGGAATTTCTATATTATTCCTATATCACATTTAGCCCAGTAATGTTTACCAATTGAAAATCTTTTCTGCGTATTTATTTTCCAGCTCTGTTTTGGACTTGCTAATATCCAGTATATAGATAGTTTACGCAAGGTTGAAAACCACTGATCCACAAGAACATAATTTTATTTCAGATTCTGAGTTACTTGGTTTAATGAGTACATTTCTTCTCATTTTTTTCAATCCCCTCTCTCCTCAATCCCAGATCTGAAACAAAATTTAACACAAGATATTAAGGAAATAATCCATATACAGCCAGAAGCGGGTTATATTCTTCCATTCTTCTGAGGTCAGTAAAATGAGGACCCAGATTGTTGGGGGCAATATGCTGAGTCTGCAAACCACTTAGAGGGGGCTGTAAAGTACTGTGATGTGGTATATAAATCTAAGTGCTATTGCTATTGCTATATTCACACATGGCTTTGGCGCTTGAACTAGGCCACCCCTTTTTGACCTTGCATCTTCTACAACTACAATTAATGGTTTAATTAATAGTTTATGATTAAGTAACTGGAACATAAACATTGTTCCAAAATTGATAATTAAAACTAAACCTCCAAAACTTTCTTCCTAGACTAGGTGATCATCATCAGACATTCTGAAGAAAATCTTCTCACAAGTAGATCCCAATTTCCAAGAAAGCCTTTATTCTTGAAGAGTTCTGTTTCTCAGGTACAGTAAACCACTCAATAATAAGCTTGATCTTCATCCACTAGCAACCCTGAGTTTATTTAATGTCCCAGTCTCTTCTTCTGGTTCAATGCAAGGCAGATATTTACATCAATGATGGTTCTTTATCTGAACCAGAGGAATCATCACTACCATAAAGATCTGATTAGCATGGCTGAGAATCCCTGAGCCTTTAAAATCACAACTGAGATTTCACCCATTCCCCAGGGAATTTCTATATTATTCCTATATCACATTTAGCCCAGTAATGTTTACCAATTGAAAATCTTTTCTGCGTATTTATTTTCCAGCTCTGTTTTGGACTTGCTAATATCCAGTATATAGATAGTTTACGCAAGGTTGAAAACCACTGATCCACAAGAACATAATTTTATTTCAGATTCTGAGTTACTTGGTTTAATGAGTACATTTCTTCTCATTTTTTTCAATCCCCTCTCTCCTCAATCCCGTTACGCTTTTCACAAAAACAGCAGTAATTATAAGTGACACAAAAGCAGCTAATGAAGTTTTCTTTAGACCTACCCTTGAAATGTATGAACTTTTCTCTATGGAGCAACACATCCAGTGCTTGCTTGCTTGCTTGCTTGCTTGCTTGCTTGCTTGCTTGCTTGCTTATTTATTTATTTATTTATTTATTTATTTATTTATTTATTTATTTATTTATTTATTTATTTATTTATTTATTTATCTATCCATTCATTAGTCCTTTCCTGCTGGATGTATAACCTGATAAACAAGGATAACACTTGCTACTAACTTTCTACTTCATTCAGACTACAGAACTCATCTTATACAGTAGAATGATATCTTCCCCTCTTCTTTCTATGGTCATTATGAGGTTTGTGGAGTGAAGTGATTTAAGTTCTTTAGATTTTGAAGGAAGTTACACAGTCATTAGTTTCAGTCCAAGATAGGATATATTGATATTCACATGGAAAGGGTGATTTCCACTAACTCTTCGCTCTTTCTACAGTTTGTGTAATTTAGGGCCCTTCCCTTAATCTCTGGAAATGAGTGTTTCTTCTGACCTTCAGATGTAAAGGAAGAGGAGAACTATTGCCTCTAGTCCAGTAGTTTTTCCAACACATTAAAATCCAACACATTAACAATCCAACCATTTTCCAATACATTAAAACAATGATGAAGCTGCTACACTCACATGAAAGCAGATATAAAGAGTTTTGCTGGTACTTTTGGAGACTAATCTCCTTCTCTGCCCTGTCTCTGCCCACGGCAATCCTTACCCTTACCTTTGTACTTGATGGAAAACCCCATGCATCTACAAAGAGAGAAATAGGGCTGCTGTGTTGATGAAGAAGGTAGCAGTATTCTTCAGCAAGCACAGAAATAAGCCAGGTATTGTAATGGAGGGGAGTGTTGGATGTTACCAGAAAGAAGACTATATTAATCTATGAAATACCTTCCACAATAGTATTCACATCAAAGGCATGAAAGAGAGACATGAAACTGGTTGCTGGGGCTTGTCAGCCCTCTCAGGCAAATCAGACAGGAAAGACAACTAGATGAGGTAATTCTTCTATATTGTAAAGTTACATTAACAAAACCCTGTAAATCTGAAAGTACAAATCTCCCATTGTCTCTTTTTACAACCTGACCAATTAGGGTGAGTCAATTCTAAGTTTCCTTATCTGACAGTTACATAACTGCAGGCTCCTGCCTCTCTTGTATAATTGTTCCCTAGGCAGCATCTCTTCCCTTTGTCCAAGGTTATTCCCCCAGACCATTACAGGTTTAGGCCTGGTTTTGCAGCTGTAAAGGGTAGCCTTGAAGCTGGACAGTTGGAGCCCTGCACATCACCAACTTCCCTCAAGTCCCTTCTCCACCACATTCACTTAAGTGAGGGTTTGTACTCTTTCCCACACATGTCCTGCCATATTAATTTATTAACTTTATTTGCTGTCCATCTTACTACAAGGTGACTTACAACATTAAAAACAATAAAACCATAACAATAAGAATTCAAAATTATAATTAAAAGATGGGAGGGGAGGACAGGATGGGTAGGGGAGAAGGTGGGATCTATTATTAGTCCATCAACTACCTCCAGCATGGTATTCCCCTGTTGGAGCCCCAGGTCATCTGCCAGAGCCAGTTCTTCAGGCTCTTGTGGAAGATCACGAGACAATCTAACCTCAGGGGGCAAGATGTTCCAAAGAGCTGGGACTATAGCAGAGAGGGCTCTTCTTTTGGACCCAACCAGCCAGAATTCCTTGACTGACGGGATCTTCTCCCGTCATGGGTGGGACAGATCTGTATCACATTAATCTACCTAAACTGCTTCTAAAATGAAGGCAGTGGTATAAAGACACATACTCAGTGACCATCAAGGAAGCCATCTTGGAGTCAAAGGAGTTGTGTGGAGTGCTTTAGTGTCTACCCTTTCCTAAAATATCTCAATATGGATTTGTAGAAATCAAGGGAAGATGAGAAAGCTCAGTTTTGTTCATAGTAAGGCAGTGAGTCTCTATGATAGCTCTATACTTAAATGTTTATAATCTTCATTTGGGTTTAAGCCATAGATGCTTTCTTTCCAAGGTCATTTTATATATTACCATTTGTTCGTTTTCTTCAGCTACAATTCCTTGACAAGTGTTCTACTGCCTTTAGCAATGATACTTGCAATATTCGCAAATCATAGCAAGTATTGGATACAGTGAATTTTAGTTAGCCACTTTTCAGATTTCCCTGCCTCCAAATGTTAAATGGCTCAGTGAAAGTAATTTAGAAGAATGGCTCTGTTGAATTCTTTCTCCACAAATTCAGTTGCTCTGAATATGTATGAGAAGAAGCACCCCTGCCCCCAAAAAGGTCAGCTGTCTTTTTGTAGTCCTGCATATCCTTCACCAGTTTGAAAAAAAATTGCCCTTAGGCAGTATGGCCTACAACTAAGATATAGGAAAAGAAGGCAGTAATGTTTTCGAACCCTACTTTGACATTTTTCCCTAGATGATTCTATACTCTATTTATATCTATTTTCTAATCTAGACAAGACCCAACATCTCAGAGATCAAGACTTTAGACAATCAATGTTTGTGTCACATGTCAAATACAGAGAAGAGAAGAGAAGAGCAGAGGAAGAAGCATCATATCTCACAGTGTAAATTCTCATAAATCAAAACATGTATAATCAACAGAGCCCTTAAGTGAAACTGGAACCTGAATTTACCCTCATGTCAGTAAATGGCAATGATTGCCGCTTAATGAAGGTGAAAATTAGCATGAGCATCCTTAGAGAAAATATATTCAAATGATAAGGGTATTAAGTGTTTCCTCACCAGGTACGGGAGCCTGAACTCTGATCTCTTCAGTTATGAAAACATCAAAGAAAGTGTTCAAGTTAAAGAAAGTTCACTAAAGGGATTTGCAATAAGTAATGCTATGTAATTATATTTTAAAAAAATTCTAAAATAACTGTCTTAATTTTCACAGAATTGCCACTGGTGTCTTTAAGTCTAAGCCTCCTGCTTTATATAAGAAACCAAATTAAATACCCACAACAGATGGCTGTTTAGCCTCTGTTTTAACCTGGTTAGTCAAGGGGATCTCACCACCTCTCTGATTTTGATGGTCAAACTGGAAATGTCTCCTAGTATTCATCATGATTCTATTTCTCAGTGAATTCATGCATTACAGGTTGTGGCATCCTTCTGTGTGATTGATCTATATCTATATCTATATCTATATCTATATCTATATCTATATCTATATCTATATCTATATCTATATCTATATCTATATCTATATCTATATCTATATCTATATCTATATCTATCTACCGTATTTCCCCGAAAATAAGACATGTCCAGATAATAAGCCCAACTGGGCTTTTCAGCTCATGCGATAATATAAGCCACCCACACAAAATAAGCCCCCCACCAACTACTTACACACATATGCAGATGGTCCCGCCATTTCCTCTGGTTGCTTGCCACCCAACCAAAATGAGTTGAGGTGAGGCTGGAGGGGGCGGAAGGGGGGACATGCCCATCCCTCCCTGTTCTTTGCACCGGCCGAGCAGCCCAACACGTCTCACCCCACCCCAATGGCAACAGCAGTCTGGCTGCTTCCCTTCCCCACCGTCTCTTTATCAAGAGGAGTGGCAGGTGGAGTGGGGGAGAAGCAAGATGCTTGGAGCGAGTCGTGGCTCCCCTTGCTGTCTCTTCTCCCCCTCCCTCACTGGGCATGGCAGGGCTCCTGCCCCTCGCTTAGCCACCCACCCCCTTTAGGGATGCAATTTGGAGATGGCTGGTAGGGTGGGTGAGAAGCGGGACGCAGGTCTTACTTTTCCAGCTCCGTTGCATTCCTCACCGTTGTGTCCAGGGAAACATGCTGTAAAAGAAAACCTTCTCACAAGTTCAATCAAACTTCTCAAACTCGCAATAAGGTTTGCCATTGGGAAAGGGGGACTCGGCCAGCGCGAAGAACAGGGAGGGGAGGCGATGGCAGCAATGGGACAACCAGTCCCACACTTGCTACCTCCTGCACCCCCAAAATAATAATACACTCCAATAAGAAGGCCAAGCCCTTATTTGAGGGGTCAAAAGAAAATAAGACTCTGTCTTATTTTCGGGGAAACACGGTATCTATATCTATCTATCTATCTATCTATCTATCTATCTATCTATCTATCTATCTATCTATCGATATCTAGAGGTGATCGCGCGCAAAGCGCGCACACAAAGAAAACCGGTAGTAAAGCCGGTTAGAACCCACCCTGTGTTACTCCATAGTAACAGTGCCAACTCAGTTAAAATATATCATTAAGTAACATTCAAACAATGCATAAGTAAATTGATGGCAAAAATGTTAGTAAAATCAATTCTTAAGCAATTCTAGAGTAAAGGGAGATTAGACACTGGTTAGATGCTGGAATAGCCTGGAGTCTATGACAGTGAACATGCCTACATTCTTGAATCATAATTACACACAAAAAAGTTGAGCTTAGAATTCATCAGGCTGACCAGGAAGAGTTTGACTGGAGGTAGCATTAACTTACTCTGGATGGCTATCAAAGAGACAGTGACTGTCATTACTGGGCCTTGGTATTAAGTCAGATTAAGGTAAATTGGACGGAAGAGGGAAGAGGAGGATGTTATTTACCAAGCCCTTAGTATGTTGATTTAGTGAGCAAGTTTTTGCAAGGTGGTTAGACCATCTCATCTGTCCATTTTATCTTTTCCAACTTCAGGAACTTCTTGTAACTCTACCAGGAGATCACACTGATTACTTAATGGAAACAAGTCTTTTGTACTTACTGGCATGCTGACTTTTTTGGGAACCAAAACATCAATTTGTAACTGCTTGAAGGCTTTCCTTTTTCTTGTTTGTTCAAAATTGGGTTGTGATCTCTTCTTTTTTCCCCCATAATGCGTCATTGTTTCAGGAGATGTTGTGGTCTCCTTAAACTGATCATATGTTTACACCATGAAATTAACATAAAGATCAAGGGTAATGACAATGGAGATGGGGCTTATTTCCACCTGAAAAAAAGTGCAAACAAGGGTGCAAATTAGCATCCTGCTGTCCAATCTTTATATTAATTATATTGCTGAGTTTTTGTCAGTTCAGATTTTTGTTCTACATCTTTTGCCAATCCTCCCATACCTATTCTTTTATATTGTTCACAGTCATACATGCCTTAGTTCAGTGGTGGGATTTAACAACTGGTTCTGTGGGCGTGGCTAAGGTGGGCATTGCTAGGTGATTATGTGACTCAGTGGGCGTGGCCAACTCAACGTCACTCACTGCAAGGTGGGGCGGCACCTTGCTGTGAGTGACGTGGAGTTGGACACGCCCACTCAGTGACATGACTGATGCTGCAGAGACAGGGCGATTTCCTACCTGCCCCCACCCTCTGCCCTTGGGCTGACAAAAGAAGGCTAGGGGGGAAAAAAGAGAAGGGCCGATGAAACGCCCCGTTTTCTGCACTATGCTGGATCGGGATGGGGAGGTGTGGGGAGCAAAAAGCCTGCTCCATACAAGCTATATTTCTAAAAACAATAACCCAATTTTATTAGCATTACAACATTAGAGGTCAAGTGAAGGATATACTTAGAGTCTTGGGCAAAACAAGACCCTAACAAACCCTTTTGTGTACTTCCTTGGTTCAGCCTAAGCTGAACAATAGATTTGTATCTACCTTGCAAAGATAAACTAATTAAGTTATGATGTACTATGTATGTAAATTTCAGTTTTGTTTGTTTTACGCCTGCTAAAATTGTAGCAGAACTGAAATAGAAGGTCTGGGATTTAGATATTCAGTGAGATGAGACCAAAAATTTTCATCTCTATTACAGTAGAATTACCCCAGCCTCTTGGACTTTATTATTTGTTTTAAGATCATGAAGGCTTTTTTCCCTGCTCCAAATCGATCCACTATCCAGCAGGATGACAATTGAAAGCAATTTCAACCTTCTGTATGAAAATAGTATTTGTGTATCTTCAAATGCAGAAGTTGAATGTGTGTCTCCTATTAAAAAGTCAATTCAAATGGTGCTTAAAAACTTATAAACTCAATTATTACAAAGTTTAATTTCCCTCATGATTAGAAGGCCACTGATTTCCTTTTAAAAGACCGATATCTAAGCCTATTAAAGGCAGTGGTAATTTTTTTATTTGCAAGTTTAGCCTATAGGAATTAGATTGGTTTTCGCTCATATATACAATTAATGCATGATTTTTAAACTGCTGTATATGTTTAGTGCTTGTTGATTTGATCTTAGATTGCAAATTATGCACAGGAATGTCTAAAATTACTTTTATTGAGATTGGCTATAATAATTGAATCTTGCAAATCTGATTGTGTTGTACCTCCTCTTCCTTCTTATAATTCATTGTGTTAAGGCAAGGTCTGTCTTCCTTCCTTCCTTCCTTCCTTCCTTCCTTCCTTCCTTCCTTCCTTCCTTCTTTCCTTCCTTCCTTCCTTCCTTCCGTCCGTCCGTCCTTCCTTTCTACCTCTCTCACACACACTCTCTCTCTCTTTTTCTTTCACCAGTGGAGGCTTGCTTTCAGAAGTTGTGAATGCTCCATCACTGGAGGTTTTTAAGAAGAGATAGGACAGCTATTTGTCCAGAATTGCATTGTGGCTCCTCCTTGAGCAGGGTGTTCAACTAAAAGACCTCCAAGGACCCTTCCAACTCCATTATTTTGTATTCTGTAAAAATGCTTCATCCCCTTGGTGAGTGTGATGACCCAGGGCATGGCACAGAGATAATACAAACAGTTGGCAGTTCAAACCGCCCCTTTATTGTTCCAAATTTCCCCAAATGCTCCCACTTTCCTGGCAAGTGCCAGAGCAGAGTGATAAGAAACCCCCACACAAACCTCAAGCAGCCTCTGGCTGCAATTAGTCCACCCAGCGCTCTCTGCACCAAGGTTGCACAGCAATAAATCCAAATTTATTTGGCAAATCAAGGGCAAATCAAGGAGTTCAGGAAGCAAAAGATCCAGGTAATTAATCCAGAATGCCAGGAAGAATGTAAGGACTCTTGGCAAGTTCAAACATCGGCATGCAACACTTCAGGAACGCAATGTTTATTCCTGACAAATGTCCCTCCCCACAGCATCTCCTTAAGTCTCATTCCCCAGATGTGCCTTATGAAGATGGGTGGGGCACTCTTCTCCTGAGTAGCCTGCTCAGTCTGCGCTGTTCATGCCTTCTCTCCACTCTCCGAGTTCTTGGATCAGGAGGGGGTGGTCCTTGCTCCTCACCTGAGCTGTCTCTCATGTTCATCCTGCCTCTGTTACTCCCTGCCTACAATCTGTCCTAATCCTGAAAGTCCTTGACCTTCCCCATTTTCTTCTGAAGTCAATGAAGCCTCCCCCTCAATCTCTGTCGACCCAGGTTCCAGTTCGTCTTCCCCTGCAGATTCAGGCTCCGACGGGGGCATGACAGTGAGTTTCTTTACTCTCTATAGTAGCATGTGTCCGAATATGATTGGCAAGGATGGATAATTGTCAGAGGACTTCACAGAATTTTTAACATTTATCCCACCCTTAATCTATGCTCCTGGAAGGTAGCATATTTTACAGAGTAATAAGTATGCCCAGTAGTTGTTTCTTTCAGTTACTCTCAGTACTACACTGCCAACTACCCAGAGGTAGGTTTCAGCAGGTTCTGACCAGTTCTGGAGAACTGATAGCGGAAATTTGAGTAGTTCGGAGAACCGTTAGTAACCATTCTGACTGGCTCTGCCCCCGTCTATTCTCTGCCT